GAAGAAAAAGATATTGTGTTGGTATAGAAAGTGTCATCTGTCCTAAAGTGATTTTATGTAGCCTGTGAGACTTTGAGACAGAGCCACCAACTCATGACAGTTCATATCTGAAACCTACATAAGAACAAGGAAGTAAAATGTTAAGATGTGGGGCTGTCTTTGTTCTCAAAGTAAAGGATGAAGGAAAATGCATGTTAATAATGTCTCGCTGTCAGCTCTTTATAGTCTAGATAAGACAGAATATGGTTCTTCCCACCAGTAATCTGGCAAGCCTGGGCACTTTGCCTTGTGCAAACAACCTGTTTATTCCTGATCTTCTGAGACTGAAAACCACCAGACGAAGGCATTGTGTCGTGTGGCTGGTTCCTGTTCGGAGCTGAGAACCTAATGAATGAACTGTGGTGGCTCTGCTTTAGCCACCTTCAGGATTGGGGCTTCCAGGACACTTCCATCTCACAGAATTGGGTCTTCAGTTTCTTTTGCAATGTTGAAACATTGAGAAGGAAATTCAGGAGAAATTCTCGTAGTGCTGGGGTACATAAGAGGTTTTATGTCATTCAGTTCCTACTTGAACCTTTTGAGGTAGGCAGATCTTACTAGTAGGGGCAGGAGGGGGGGAAGAAAACATTTGAGGATTTAAGTGTGACATAAGTGGTGCACAGATTTAGCACACAAGCTATGTTTTTTTAACTGAAGTAAATGTACTAAAAAGCCTATGACTAGGCTTTTCGGCTGCAAGGAGAAGTGCACATGCCCAGAACCTCTTTGGATGTCGTCTCCAATTCTAGAAAATAACCTTTCAGGACAATTTCCTAAGCAAAGAAGTGTTTTACCTTAGTTAGCTGTTTCCCCTTGTACTTGTAGGGGGAATTCAATACCATGAAGTGAAATGCGAGCATGATACAATCTAGCACATTGTTGTGAGTTATCCTGTCCCGCTTAATTGTTTAGTTCCATAATACTTTCATTTCTTCCTGCTAATAAGGCCTCCGTGCCCCTATAACTCAGTGCCAAATGCCAACCGTAACTTATTAAAACAACAATACAGTAACCCTGGATGAAAGAAGGCATTTTATGCCAGAAGAGAGCGCAAGGTCTAATGGTCATTGATTAAACCCCATTTTCCAGTTCTATGAGTTAGAAAATAGCCATTTAATGTAGTATTGCTGCACTGAACTCATGTCAAGCTCATTGAGAAACTGAGTGTGTACAATACAAAATTGATACAGCAGTGGTAGAACTTCCAAAGCGTTAAAAGGAATAGGCCCACATACTGCTGGTTGGAGTGGTTTGATATAGCTCTCGGTGGGAAGGAAAACTAATTATATAAAGCCCATAGCAACCTAAAAGGATATATCATAAAAAACAATCAGTCTGGGAAATCAAATATTTACATGATAGTCTCTCTAGTACCTTCACTGTGCATCTCATTCATCTTTACAGTTGCTTTACGCATGGTACATACGCATGGTCAGCACCCTACTCTCCTAGATCAGCTTGGCTTTCCATCTTTCCCCATAACTGACTTCATTTCTCAACCCACACAGCTACGACTATAGTCACTGTAAACCGTCATCTTCTGCCATGCAACCCTACTTTCTTAATTCAGTCTAATATCACTGTGCTATATTTCAGATGCTGTTCTGAGATTGTAATGGATGTATATATTTTTAGGGATAAAAGATCCAATGTAAAACTTACAAAAAAATACCTGGATGCTGAGCATATGTTGTGAACTTTTGGTTTTACTCCTTTTTCAGACCCTTTGTTATCCAGATCTCTATAGCTGGGCTAAAGTCAGTTGCAGCTTTTGGGGGAAGGGCCCTTCCATTTGTACAAGTCTAGAGAGTGCCATTAATAATTACTGTGCCATACTGTATAAATAAATTACATACTAATATCTGTAGTGTAAGTCACTGACACAGGATGTTAATAAATTATAGTATTCCTGAAGATTTCTGCTTTGCTAAACTCAGTGGCAAAATCTCCCTGTTCGGCATTAGTGACAGCAACACTACAAGGTTTCCCGTATAAATCTTTCATGGCTCTGACATGGAAGAGACAAGAGACTTCTTCCATATCTACTCATCCTTGGTGCCTATGCTGAGATTTATTAGCAAGCTGCCAATTTGTGTGATGAGTTGTAATGGGAACCTCTGTCCCTTAGAAAAATGGTGTCAGACCACCAAATCCATCCATAAGGCATTGACAGAATATCAGGTCAGTAGCTGAGTTTTAAATGGTCACTGAGATAAGGTGTGATAAAATGTGTTGTTTTTCTAATAGACTACCTGAAACTGCTTCTTGTAACACCTCTTCAATAGATCATGCAATGCTGGGCGAGCAATCAGAAGCAAAACATATGTGGCCATTACAAATGGATATCCAGGAAAGTCCAATCTGTAACCACAGCGGAGATACATACATTATACTGTTCTGTGGTATTATCAGACTTCTCAAGTAGTGGGAGAGAATTCCATCAAAATATTCTGGAGAGGAGGTGTAAAAAGAGATGCATGTCCCTGCTTATTTAGAGTATTAGAGGGATGGCAGTAAGGAAGAAGGTGTTCTTGCAGTCCACGGGGTTATAGGTAAAGATTTAAAACAGATATGGAGGTCAGACTCAAGCAGCAAGAAATAGGGAATTAATTTAAATAATATTAATATAAATAGTATTTAATTTATTTTTGGACGTGAGGAAAAATTTCTTTACTGAAAGAGTGGTTAAACATTGGAACAGGCTGCCCAGGGAAGTCTTAGGGACATGGTTTAGTGGGCATGGTGGTATTGGGCTGACGGTTGGACTTGATGATCTTAGAGGTCGGTCTCTTCCTTAATGATTCTGTGATTCTATGATTCTAATATGGAAGCTGTCATCTAAACAGTGTGTGTGGCAAAACACCCAAAGGTCATCTTTGAGGTGTTATTCAGGCAACATGCATGGCAATGAAGTGTAGAAAGAAGGCAGTATACTGGAAATCGGTGACAGCAGCGAAAGAAGGGAAGCTAACAGCTGCAAAAGTATTCATTGTTCAAGCAGTTAGCTGGGAACATCCAAGAAATAAAAGAACTGCCCCCCACCCCAAATTCCATAAATTCTCAGGCAAGGGACTCAGGTGACAAGGAAGACAAGCATAAGGATACTGTTGCAGTAAGAGCGTCCTGACTGAAAAATACTTATAGCAGTATAATATGCAACTGTTCAATTAACAAATAGTTGCTAATTAGGTTTGATCTTTTCTTGCTAATATTATGTTCAGAGCTCCTTATAAATGTGCATGGAGATAATACCGTTCTTCCAAACAGCTTGTAGATTAAATAGGTACATATGGCTGTTTCAACAAATCATCTAATAAAGCAGTCAGCTAAAGAAAACTGAGCTTGAGCATGTGAAGTCAGAAAATAATGAAGAGCTTTTTCAGTAGTTCATCAGAATTATTAAATTCAGAATTAAGTGGTAAATAGAAACTGTATAGTTATGCAACATGGAAATTTGAGTCACTCAAGAGTGTAACTCCTATTGATATTCTGTGTAATAGCCTTAATATCTTAAAGTTATTGCATGCTTCAGAAGTTATAATCTATTTAAATGCTGTATGTTACTTTAAGGGTTTTTTTAGTGTTAATTTCTTAGTATGTATTTGTAGACTAAAAACCTATTTCTAATTATCCATTACCCATGTGCAAAATTTACAACAAAATACCTCAGGGAAGGCGGAGCTGCAGTTTCAAGTTTATTGCTCCGTGTGCCGTGGTGGTCTTTAAAATACAAACTTTGGGGTTACATAATGCAGTTAGCCTCTGTCACCATTAGTTCATGCTTTCCATCCTCCATACAGACTTCGCAAGCTTCTGACATCTGGGTCTATAACAGGAGCCGTTTAGAGCCCCCCTCCCTTTGACCGAAGAAGCATTTGTAGATGGCAGGCAATCCTAACAGCCATCTTCTCTGGACTCACCCTGAAAGGGGCAAAGCATGTCAGCTGGTGTCTTCCCAATTCCATGGCAGGGATAATCAATATCTTAAAAGTATAAAATGGTCTTCGGAGCAATGCAGAGTGAATTTGGGGTTTGGTTTGTGACCCAACGATGCCACCCAAAGATGGTGATGGTGTCTTTTTTCCTTGAGAGTCCTCTACCACATTTTTATTTGAAATCCAGGCATGAAAGAAATGCCAGCCCTTTCCCAAGGATAAATGCCACTATCCTGTCAGTCTGGCATGTAACTCAATTTGGTTATTGGCTGGTTTTTTTGAGATTACCTTTGATTTTAAACTTAAGAATTCAGAACTGTGGAATTAGCTAAAACAGAAATCAAGGATAATCTACTTGAACATGTTGAATTTTTAAA